GGGAAGGGGGTCCAGCTGCGGGGCGCCTCGTCTCCAACTCCCGCTAACGCCCAACCGGGCGCCGGCCTCTGGGAGTCCGGAGAGATCTGGCGCGGGGCGCCGGGGCCGCGGGGAGCAGGAGGTGGGAGGGCTGAGAACCGCGGGGCCGGGGTGGGGGGCGGGGACCCAGGCGCCCCAAACTCCGCGCCGGCGGCCGGACGCCAGGTGAGCGGGCGGGGCCGGGGGGACCGGGGGCCCCGGAGGATCCCGCGAGGTCGACGCCGCGCTGTCGGCGATGGCGGGGCCGAGGCGCCCGGCGTCCGCGGGGTCCGGGGCCCTGCGGGCCGCGCCCGGCGTCACGTCCGCCCGCCGGGACCCGCGGCGGGGAGGGAGGGGGCCGCCCGGCTCCGCGGGTGGCGCCGGGCGCGTCGGGACGGCAGCCCGGCTTCCGCGGAAATCCCGGGGCGTCCGGGCTGGCCGACCCCAGGGCCGGCCGCCGGGGAACGCGGGGCCCGGGCCCGGAGCCCGTGGCCAGGCTGGAACCGTCCGTCGGCGGCCCCCACGGTGGCCGGTGCTCGCCGCCCCAGCCCCGCGTGGCCGCGCGCCCGGGCCTCGCGCTCGCCGGCGGGCCGGCCTTCCGGGGTCTGCCCGGGACGGAGCCCGCGTCCCGCTGCCCTGCGGGCGCCGACGGGCCAGGCCGCCCCCCTCGGGCCTGCGCGCGCCCGGGAAGCGTCAGCCCTCCGCCCCGGCCCGTCTCCCCCCGGCCCCCCGGCAGAGGTGACGCTTCGTGCCCGGGTGGGGGGCCCGGAGGGGACACCGAGCCGCTGGTCCGAGGCCGGGAAAGGCAGAGTGGCCGGGGCCGCCCCGCCGCGCCCCGCCGCCGGGGGGGAAAGCGGGCGGAAAGTAAAAATGAAAACAAAAAGAATCGGGGTGCGCGGGACGAGGCGAACTCGGACCCCCGGGGCCCCCTTCCGCGGTCGCTGTCTAACAGCTGCTTCTGCCTCGCTCCTGATTTTACCATCGTCTCAAAGCCCAGAACGGAGACGGGCAACACATCCAGATTACAGAGAGACGGGCAACACATCCTGATTACAGCTCCGGGTCCGCCGCAGCCTGGTCTACCAACCAGGCTCTGCTGGCCTTGGTCTAGAAACACACAACTGACTTCTGTCTCGTTTTACTTCCAGGACCAGGTACCTAAGAAGCACGACTGCTTCTATTTAAGAAGCAAAAAGAGCCCACAGAGCAAGGCGGAAGCCGGGGACCAGCACCCAGCGTTCCCTCCTCTCCCTCCCCACTCCCAGCCAAGTGGAGAAATGGAGGACCCTGCTGTCTTCTGTCCCCTCTCTGTCGCTTTGTCTCTGCCCGGAGGGAGCTGCAACCCACTGGGCAGCCTTGTGGAGACAGGCAGGCCCGGCCCAGCAGATTTTGCTAGAGTCCTGGCCCCGATACCGCCAGCAGGAGGACGGTGGGCAGCGGCCTTCACCCGAAGCCACGGGGCCATATGGCAAAGAGACTTCACTAGAAAATTGGAACAGACCAGGGTGGACATGAGAACACCTTGGGAAGAGGAGGAGAAGGTCCAGGGTGTGGGGTGGAGCTGAGCAAGGGCCACAGTTCCTGCAGCCAAAGAGCCTCAAGCTGTGAGGGAGGGTCTCAAGGCCAGGCGGAGGACACCCTGGCCTCTCCACCTCCTGGGTGCTCTGGGGACCGAGGCCCAACTCTTTGGCCCCACCAGGCTCCTAGATGCCTTTGGAGAGGAGCCGGCTGGGAACCAAGGGCCTGGGGAGTCTCCCTGGACAGCCATGTTGGAGGGAAGGGGTCTCATGGGGGCCTTCAGTGTTCACAGGCACCTTCTCTGGGTGTCAGGGTACCTGGGCATGCAAAGATTGGGCTCCGCAGCGAGGGGTGGGGAGTTCCAATTAGACTGCAGGCACCTCCCAGCAGCCGGCATTGCTCACTGTGACTTTGGTTTTGATAGGAAGGCGGAATCCTTGGTTACTTTGGACTCCCTTCGCCAGGCAAGGGCCTGAGGCCAGTCTGCCTCCAATCTCCTGGAGACTGAGCCAAGCTCAGAATCTTCTGGCTTTGAGCTCCCAGGGCGCCCTTTCTGAGGACAGGACCCTCAGAGCCTTACCTTAGAGGTCTGGGGGCCCAGCCCCACAGAAGACTTCCTTTGCCCCCCCAGGTCGCCGCTGTGGGCATTCACCTTGTCTGGTGGACAGCCTGGGGTGGGGGGTGGCCCCCACAATCTCTCTAGCAGTGTGGGTCTTGAAAGCAGGGAGGTCCTTCTGCACACTACTAGATAGTGGGCAACCCCATGGGTCTCCCTGAAATCAAAATGCGAGAGAAGGAAGATGCAAGTTACAGACCCCAGCCTGTCCTGGGCAGTAATGCCCATGGTGGGGAAACTGAGGCCCAAAATGTATCACCATCAGGACTGGGGTCTCGCGTCTGGGTGTGCAGAGCTTGTATGACCCAAGTGGGCCCCAGATTGCATAACTGGAGGCCCTGGGTGCTCAGGTGACTGCCACAGGCCTCACTTACGGAAGAGGGTGGAAAGCCAGGAGGGAGGGGGCATGCGGTGGAGACAGATCGAAGCCATTCATCTTCTGCCAGCAGCGGAGCCAACACGGAGCCAACACGGCCGGCTGAGGTGCGCCCGCAATCGATAGCCCTGGTGCTCAGGACTAGGAGGGCGTGGTGGCCCCCAGGCTGGGCCCTGCACGCCCCCCCCCTCCAGGGCCTGGTGAAATGTATCAGTCCTTGCTGGCTTCTGCCACCCGTGGTGCGAACCTTGTGAGTTCATGATGGGGCAAGCCCAGGTCCCCAGCCTGGTGGGTCACATCCAGTTTTGGAGCCACAGGATCTTATCGAGATTCCCCTCTTAGAGTGAGGCCAGCAGTCCGCGCTCTTCCCTCCTGGCTCTCCATCCCGTGGCAGAGGCCGGAGTTCCTCTCCAGCCAACTCTAGCTAAAAGCAGCCCTTCTGCCAACCTCTGCCCTTCATCTGAGTGGACAGATCGTGCCTGACGCTGGCTCCCAGGGAGAGAATCCGGACAGGCGCCTGTTGGCTCCCTGGCCCAGAGCCAGTGTGCCAGTGCCCCCACCCCCACCCTCACCTGGCTACCACGTGGCTCTGCCAGGACCACTTAATAAAACAGTTGCATCACAATGGCTGGCAACCCTGCCGAGCTGAGTCTTTCTTTTCTTTTCTTTTCTTTTTTTTTGTCGGTCATGGGATTTGAACTCTGGGCCCAGGTGCTGTCCAGCTCAAGGCAAGCACTCTACCACTTGAGCCACAGCATCACTTCTGGCTTTTTCTACTTATGGGGTGCCGAGGAATCGAACCCAGGGTCTCATGCATGCAAGGCAAGCACTCTACCACTGAGCCACCTTCCCAGCCCAAACAGGGTCTTTCTCAATCATCCATTCTCAAAAGGTCACGGATGTCCTCTGGTCTGAGAGTGCAGTTGGCACGGGCATCTCTTGGAGGCCCTCAGGAAGTCCCATGGGGCATGGAGAGGAAGAGGAGGGCAGCGGACATGGCCTGAGTGGCCAGGGTCTGCACAAGTCCTTGTGAAAGGGGCCAAGCGCTGAGGGCCTGGAGGCCCACTGTCCTCTGGGGCCACTGACCTGGTCACAAAGCTCTGTCCACAGAAGCTAGGACACATCCCTCCCAGACAAAGCGCAGTAGGAATTTGTTTAGTTGGGGTGGGAGCAGGGCAGCTCAGGCAGGCAGGGAGTCAGACCCCAGGCACAGAAGGACTGAGACCAATGGGGGAGGCTGCGTGGGAGTGGAGGTTGACCTAGGACTACTGTGCCTTCCACGGGAGTCTCCTGAGATGAGACAGGGGTTGTCACAGGGACCCCTCCACCCCTCGTGCCTGGGCTTCCTCACTAAGAACAAGTTCTTGGGACCAGAGCGGGGGAGGGTACCCTCACAGATGGACCATCACCCCAGAACAAAGTAGAAAGGGAAGTCGATTTTGGGGGGAGGGGCAGAAGGTTCTGCCACGGACACAGCTCTTCCTAGCCCCAAAAGACACCTTTGCTCCTGGGATCAAAATCACACCCAATAAAGTGCTCCTTGTGGAGCACAGCTCAAGTCTAAGCCCAAGCAGGGCTGCTGGTGACGCAGGTTGCCCAGGAACAGATCCCAACACGAGCTCAAACCCTCACCCAACGGTCTCCAATTGCCAGTGTTTCGTTCTGGCCCGAAAAAATTGCTATGTGACTCCAGCCCTTTACTGAGAAGGGGCACCGCACACGGAGGAAAATTCTGGTGGCCAACAACTCTGAAACTCAAAATCACCTCCACTTCTCAGCCTCCCTGAGACTTCCGGGGAGGTCCACCAGGGCAGAAGCCAGGGTTAGGGGCATAACTCCTGCCAGCTGCCCCAGACGCGGCACCAGGCCCCAGGGTTCCCGGGGTGTGCACCGGAAAGAAGGTGTCCCCCTGGCTCCTGCCAAGGGAGGCCCTGTCCATAATCACACAGCAGGGAAACTGTCCAGAAAACGTCCCTTTTATTCCATATGCAAAGAAATAGAGTCATCAGAAAAAAGAAAAGTCTTCTGGAGTGAGGGCATCCAGCCGAGGCCCCAGTGTGCACTGGCCTCTCGCTCAGAGGTGGACCGGCCCCTGCCGGCTGGGGAGGGGGGAGTCTCTCCCCCTGTGGCCCCGCAGGAGGCCCTGCCACTGGCCTGCTGTCTGGGTCCTGGTCCAGAGAAGGGACTCTGAGCCTTGGAAGCAGGATGCGTCAGGGACAGTCACCTCGCAGCTTCCAGCACAGTCTGTCCGCATAAAGTTTTCATTTGCTGCAGATCGGCCCCACTGAGGGATGGAGAAGCCCTGGGATCTGCTCAGCCTAGCCTGGCCATTGCCCTGGGCTGGCCCCCCCACCTCCGTGGAGCAGGGACCACCGCCAGGCACCCTCGCTTTGGCTGGGGCGCCATCTCCCTGGGCTGGTTCCGGGCCCATTCCCCAGGGCTCCTGGGATGCTGCCCGGAGGCGGAGGAGGCTCACACCAGCCCAGGCATCTGGGCCCGGAGGAAGGGCACGGAGGCCGCGGTGGGGAAGGCGGCCAGCGGGTAGGCCAGGGCCCCCGAGAAGCCGAGCAGCGGCGGGGCGGGCGCGGGTACGGGCGCGGGCGGCGCCAGCGGGAAGGGCAGCGCGGTGGCGGGCCCGGCGGCTGGGGGGCTGTCGCGGTAGAGCACCGGCACACGCACCACGCGCTGGGCGCCCGGCGGGGACAGCCCGGCCGCCTCCAGCTCGGCCGCCAGCTGCCGCTTCCACTTGTTGCGGCGGTTCTGGAACCAGATCTTGACCTGCGTCTCGGTGAGCTGCAGGGACGCCGCCAGGCCGGCGCGCTCCGCGCTGCTCAGGTAGCGCTTCAGGTCGAAGGTGGACTCGAGCTGGAAGACCTGGCTGCGGGAGAACACCGTGCGCGTCTTCTTCTTGCGCCCGCCGCCGCCGCCGCGGGCCGCCCCGGCCCTGGCCTCCGCCGTCTCCACCGCCTCCTCGCCGCCCGCCACCGGGCCCTGCGCTGCGCCCGGCCCGGGGTCCCGGGGCCAGGTGCCTTCCGAGCGCCCGGTCTCCTCGCCCGTCTCCGGAGAGTCCCGGTCGCTGGCTGCAGGGGAGAGAGGGACACGGGTTGGTTCTGGGGCTGACCCCGGACCCGGGCAGGATGCTTGACGCCCCAACCTGGCAACCACCTCCCCATGCACCCACGGGTGGGGATGCTGGTAAGGCACATCGGGGAAGGGTGACCCCCAAGTGAGAGAACTGCTGCACACACCCAGAAAACAACACGAGCCCACACCAAGATGCACCCCACACCCGGAGGAAGAGAGGAAGAAGGCCCAGGACAGGACGGAAGAGAAAGAAACACAAAAACAGCACCGAAAGCAAGCTGACCTCTCTGACCACCCCCTCCCAACGACTACAGCCCAGGTCTCCACAAACACACAAAAGGCCCTCGGAGAGCCCAGGACAAAAGAAAGAGGTCCTTGGGGAGAGAGCTCCCCCAAAGACAAGCTGGGACCCCGCCTTGGGTGTCCCCTCGGAGCCAGGGCCCCTCCCTGCTTACTCTCGGGAGCAGATGTAAAAAGCACAGGGAAAACATTTTTACTACGGGACAAGTAAGTGCAAACAACCCCTAAGGTAAACTCCGGTGCAGTGAGCCAAGTGCTGCGCGCTCCATGCTCTGGCCCCAGGACCCAGGTGCCCACAGACCACGTGCCCGTGGGTGCAGAGAGAGCACCCTGCCCCAAGCACCTTCTTGCCCGGCCTTCTGGCTCCAGTTTTGAGTGTCCCAGGGCCTGCCATGAAGCCCCAAGTTCATGCCCACCTCAGACAGAGTGGCACCTCAGGCACACTGTTGTCTGTCTGGGTTGGAAAGGGCAACACCCCAGGCTGCAGGTCCCCAGAGCCACCCCTCGGCTTGGCTGATGGGATACCCAAGGTCAGGGTGGAGTTAGCTCTGGCCCTCCACCGGTGGACTCGGATTGCCATGCGTGAGTGTCTGCATGCCTGTGCAGCGTGCAAACGTCGGTGGGCTGTGTGCGTGGCTCAGGCTCTGCCTGGCGTCCTTGGACACACACAGATAGACGTCTGCTTGGGTACTGGCCTGCTCAGGGCCCACCGAGAAGATCTGGTGCCTGCTGCCTCCTCACAAGCCCTAAGACCCGGCGCTGGCTTGCCCACGTCACCCTAACCCGCTCTGCCTGATCTTAACCCGCATGGAACGAAATCGGACAATGGCTCCTCCGTGGGGGCTGACAGCCAGGTGGGGGGGGAGGGAAGGGGGGGGAGCAACAAGAGAACACATTCAACCTCTGAGAACCTCTCCCCCCCCCAGCCTGGATGGAGTCACTAGATTTCAGGGGGACGGTGAGGGCTCTGCACCAGCGGTGAAGGCTCTATGCCAGCCCAGACCTGATGGGCTCTGGGACAGGGTTCTTTCTGCAAAGGGGTTGCTGGCTCCAACAGGTGAGGGGGTGGTGGGTCCCCTAACTCCTGGGCACACAGGGGCAGGCCCCAACCCCAGGAGCCAGTCCTTCCTTAGCTGGCCCCTCAGATGGCCGTGGGTTTGGAGGGAGGCCTGTGGAGAAGGACTGGACTGGGCGGGGTGGTTTTTCCCTCCCATCCTCCCAGCTTGGAAAGCTGGGTCCCCGAGAGAGAGGAGAGAGAGAGGCGGTCACTGGAGAGAGGAGGCAGAAGGTAGGGTCAGGATGCCCTGGTGAGAGTGGGGAGCAGGTTCTGGAGTTGGGGAACCCCCTCCTCCGAGCCCTCTGTAGGAAACAAAGGCCAGGGAGGGGGAGGGGTGGTAGTAGAAGAGAGGAGGGGGCACCGGGGGGCCTCAGAGCCGCTCGGTTCTCCGCGCACAGCCCGGGGACCTGGGAGAACCGAGAGCGCGGGCCGGAGCGCGGCCTAGGCCCCGGGGCTTCCCGCCCGGGGTGGGCTGTGCGCCCGCCGCTGGGGGAGCAGGCCTCGGCCGCCCGCCGGCCTGGCAGGGCCTCTGCTCGGCTCCCAGTATGTTAGCGTCGGGCCCCACTCGCCTCTCCCCCGTACCCGTCCTCCCCTCCCCTTCCCACGCCTCGCACCTCCACCTCCTCCCCTGCTCGCCCCTCTCTCTCGGCCCCGCGTCCATCCACGCCCAGTCCACGCTCCTCTCTTTCCCGGAGCCAGAGAGCCGAGGATGGAGGCAGCCACCCCGGATGGATGCGCCGCACCTCCCGCGTCGGAGCGTGGGCCCCCGGACCCCGCCGACCCCAGGCCCGCCGAGCCCGGCGCCGCCCGGACTCGGCTACGCGGGCGGGGACAGGGGTGGCCCCGAAAGGGCGCGACGGACCCCAAGTCCTCCAGCCGGGCCCGCAGCTCCCGCGCCCCGCGCCCCACTCACTGTCGGGACTCAGGCCGCCTCCGTAGCCTCCGTGCGTCCGCGGGCACCAGCGCGCGGCGCCCCCGCAGCCGAGGGCGAAGGGCGGACCCGGCCCGGGGGGCGGACGCGGCCCCAGGCCCAGCAGCGCCCGGGCTCGCGCCTCCCCGCCGGGCCCGACGCCCGCGCGCGGTGGTCGCCGCCGCGGCAGCCGCCGCCGCCGCCCGGGCTCGGCGTCCCCGTCCTCGGGGTCGTCGTCGTCGTCCTCCTCCTCCCCGCGGCTCCCGCCGCCCCGGGCCGCGCGCCCCGCGCCCTTGGCCTCGGCGGCCAGCAGGTTCTCGATGAGGAAGGAGGAGGCGCGGGCCGGCGTGGCGTGCCCGGGCTCCGTCACGTCGTCCGGCATCGCGGCCGCGGCCCGGCGGGGGGCTCCGTCCTCCGGGGCTGCGGGGCGCGGGCCGGGCCCGGGAGCCGCTGCCCGGGGCGCTGGGGTCGGGCTCCGCGCGGGGTCGGGCAGGGCGGGAGCGGGCGCGCGCCGACAGCCGCCCGGGCAGCCGCCCAGCTCGCCTTTCACGTCGCCGGTCCCAGTCGCCGCCCCCCGCGCCGGCCTCGCGGGGGGCGGGAGGAGGAGGGGCCGGGGGCGGGGCGGCGCGCGCCGGGGGCCCGGGGACGGCCCGCGGCCCGGGGACGCCGCCCGGTGCCCCCCTCCGCGGGCGCGCGCGGGCGGGCGGGGGCGCGCGGCGCGGGCGCGGGCGGCGTGGGTCCGGGCCCGCGCGAGGCTTTCCCGCGGACCCCGGGCCACCCGCGCCGGGAGGGGCGGGCCCGGGTCCGCGGCCGCCCATTGGCTGCGGGGCCGGCGGGGAGCCGGCTGGCCAATGGCGGGGCCGGGGCCGCGCCGGGCCCGCCGCCCGGCCGGCGTGGGACCGGGCCCTGCGTGCGCGTGTGCGCGCGCGGCCGGCGCGTGTGTCTCGCGTGCGCGCGCGCGTGGAAGCCGCGGACGGCTGGGCCGCAGTCGCTGTTTTCCAAGACCCCGCGCGTCACCTAAAGACGAGACCGGCCGGCGCAGGGCCGCGAAGAGCGCGTCCGCTCGGGGCGGCGTTGTCACCTCGCCGGCTGCGGCGGGGCTCCCGGGCCCCGCGCGCCCCCCGCGCGCCCCGCTCACCCGGGGCCCGGGCGCACGGCTCCGGCCCCGGCCCCGGCCCCGCGGGCTCCTCGGCGTGCGCGGGGCGCCCCGAGGCCGTGACCCACTTCTGCCGCAAGCGGGCGGGCGGCGGCGGCGCGTGGCCGCTTCCCGCCTCGCCGAGGCCGGGCTCCGCAGCCGGTGCGCTCCCGGGGCCGCCGCGGGACTTCCCGCTCCACCTCCCGGACGCGCGCGCGGGCGAGCAGCGCCCAGGGTCGGGCCGCCACCCGGGGAGGTTCGCGGGACGGTGAGTGGCACCTCGGGGCCGGGCATGGCGACGCCCCGGCCCGGGGGTCCCGCGGCCGTGCGAGGCCCCGGGCGGCCGCCAGGAGGGCAGGGGTGAGCGGCGCCCCAGTCCGCTGCTGGAGGAGGCCGACCCCAGCGCGTGCTGGGCGCCTGGGGGGAAACTGAGGCCCGAGGGGCCCCGGGGGAGAAGTGGGGAGGAGCCCGCTCGGTTCCCGCCCAGCCGCGGGCGGCGGCCGTGCGGGTACGGGGTGCGGGAAGCGGGCCCCGCAGAGCCGCGGGGGGCGCGGGGCGGGGAACGCCGCCGAGCCCGGGACCGCCGCCGGCCTCGACACCGGTGCGTGGTCCCCGCGTGGCCCGCGGTGGCCAAGGCCGGGGTGGGGACGGCGAGCGGGGTGGGGACGGCGAGCTGGCCGGGGCGCCCGCTGCGGGCGCGGACCCCGGTCAGCGCGGCCGGGCCTGGGCAGCGGCAGCCTTGGCTCCGGCCTCCCCGCCGCCCTGGGGCTAGAGGCCGAGCAGGGGGTCCCGCGGGGAGAGGTCGGGAGCCGCTCACGAAGTCAGCCCAGCCAGGACGTCCGGGTCCGGAGGCCCGGCCTCCCTTCCCGCCTCCTTTCCGAACCTTGGAGGACTGAGGCCCCCCCGCCCCGTCCCGGCGCCTAACCTCTGCAGGGCCTGTCCTTGGCTGCATCTCCCGAGGGGACCTGGGGCGCTGGGGGTCTGGGAGCCCAGCAGCCCCACGAGGGCCTCCGCCACACACAACCCCTGTTGCCCCCCGCCGGCTCTGTGTTAATAAACAGTTTTCTTTATAAAGAAACTTCCGAATGTTCGTTTTAAATGATTACCTGGCCTTTGCTTGCTTCACTCCATCCAATCCCGTTTCCCTTCGCTCCCCAAGACACCCCACCCGGAAGTTCCTCTACTTGTCCATCTCTCTCCGTGGGGCGTGAGCGTGTGTGCTCCTGGGTGTGCGTGCACACACGGGCATGCAGGTTCCTTCCGCAGACCCTGGAATCTGACGTCCCTGGTGTGGAGCAGCAGGACGTTTGCACGACACCCACAACTCCTCTCACAGACTTTACATCACCACCAGAAGGCTTCAAACACCTGATACAACAGAAATGCTTTGGACGTCGTTGTTTCTCAGTATGTAGGGAATAATGGCTGCGTGTAAACGCAGCTTTTCTTTGAAGACATTTTTCCCCAAGAGATCCAAGCCCATCTTGGGATTCTTCAGATCTGTGACGGGTTGTCTGCCAGGCCTCAGGACCTGCAGAGGGGGGAGGCACACCATGTCAGGTGTGCATGGAGTGTCCTTGCTCATCACAGTCTTCTCTTCCCGACGCTAGGGATTGAGCCCAGGGCTTTGTGCATAGGAAGCACACCTTTGCCTCTGAGTCACGAGCCCAGCACATTCTCTTGTATGTTGGGAGGCTGAGGACAGGATGGGATCCAACCCCAGGCCCTGTGGTTTGCCACAAAACGCTGCCTCTCAGCCCCCGATTTCCTTTTTAACCACTATATACTAACCCAACATTTGCATGCCCTTGCTTCATCCCTCCAGCCACCGGAAGGATTTCTCCAGTCATTATCGCTGCTAGTCAGCCTTGGGCTCACAGGTGCAGGGTCCCAGGTTGGCTGTCTCCAGTCCATGATTCCAGGCCCTAGTTGGAAAACTCAAAGTTGGGGAGCCAGGGCCAGGATTTGCCTGAAGAGTCATCTGCCCATTGCACCAGGCTCTGGAAGGACGCTCCCCCTTCCCAGGGCCTCTCCTCCTGGCCCGTGAGGTGAGCCCCTCACACGTGAGTCCCAGGACAAGCGGAGTGAGGGGGCCAGGTCACCCTGTCTGGGAATGGCGTGCTTCGTTCCCTGCTCTGTGGCTGGGAGCCGTCATGGCTGCCCTCCAGGCCCCAGGCGCGGGGAGGGGGGTGGAGGGGGGGGGCTGGCCTGCCAGATGCAGGGGAGAAACGCTGCGTGTTCACACAGGAAGAGGTGGGTGGAGGGCCGCCGTGCTGGGCAGCAGGTAGGGGGCATGGCGTCTTTGGGGTCTAGAGTTTTCCATGGCAGGGGAGTACGTCAGTGCTTCTTGTGCGTGCAGGGCTTCCCCGGTGCCAGGCTGTCGGGCCTTTGTACATGCCACGGCACTCTGTCGAAGGAGCCCGGGTGGCACAAAGGAACAGTGGGGGCCGCGTGAAGGGCCCCAGCCCGGGCTTGGAAACGAAGGTTCTCTAGGGCAGACGCCTCCTGGGGAGCGGCGGGAATGGAGACACCTGCGGAAGGAGAGAACCCCTAATTTGCAAGGCAATGGGGAGCCTCAGCAGGCTGTGGAGCCTGAGGGCGGGGGCGTGGTCCCAGGGGTGGAGCGAGGCTAGTCGGGAGTTCAAACCTCAGCCTGGTGAAGGGGCAGAAAGGAAGCTGTGCTGGGAGATGAGTGAAGGCTGTGAGCACCACCTGCGGGGTGGAGGAGGGGCCAGGAAGTCCACAGCGAGCGGTCCAGCCTCGGCCACGGGTCTCCCACGCCGGCCGGGCGCCCTGGCAGGGGGAGTCCGCAATCCCACCCCAAGTCCCACCCGGCGCCATCCCTTCCCCAAACCCACCGCGTCTGGCCTTTGTGATGGGAACTGAGGCCTCAGCTGCGGGGGAGGGGGGGCGGGGGGGGGGGTCGAGGAGGGCGTGGCAGTGCGGGGCGTGCGGGCAGTGGTTGACTTTCCCCTCCACCCCAGGGTCCGCTGGAAGCGGGCAGCACAGCACAGACGTTCACCGCACTGGCTTCGAAGTCAACCCAGGGTCTGAAAATCAGGAGCGCAGCCGGCAGCCAGGAGGAGCAGCACCACCTTCACCGTACCTGAAGTGCCCTGGTGGGCAGAGAGGCAGGGAGGAGGGAGGAGAGAAGGGGGGCAGCGGGTGGGGGCTGGAAAGAGGAGGAGGAGGGTTAGCTAGAGGGGGGAGGAGGAGGAAGAGCTGGGGGAGGAGGGAAAGTTTGCAGACTAGGCAGTAGGGGAGGGAGGGCAGGGGAGGGGCTGCGTGGGGGGGGTGGATGCTGGGAGGGGACAGCGTGGGGGAAGTCCACATCCAGGTCTCACGTGCCCAGCTGTGGTGCAGCCTGACCAGCAGTTCCTGGGAGCCCTGTCCACCCGCCCTGCCCTGTCAGCCCCTCCCACACGGCCCATCACCCCCTGCCCAGGGGTGGGCAGGGGGCACTGGCGTCCACTTTCTGCGCAGACTTTCCTGGAGGCAGGGCCTTGTCATAAATGGCGGCGGTGCATTTGGGTGCCAGGGCATGTGGTCCCGTGGTGGGGGCGCAGCCCCCCCCCCCCCGCCCCGAGGACCCTCCAGCGCAGCGAGGTCGCCAGGTCGCGTTCAGGCAATGCGGATGGTCTGGTCTGCACGTGGGGAGCACCTAGAGGTGGGGCTGGTTTGGATTCCCATCCAAATCTCCAGGGAGCTCCAGGCAGCTCCGGCTACCATGGAAATGACGGGGGGGGGGGGGGGGGACAAAGGGTGGGGTAACTGCACAGCTTTTTGCCCCAGGAGCCAGAAGGAAGTTTCTGGAAACAAGCCCTGGGTCTGGGTGGAGGCCCGTGGTCTCTCGGGACATTCAGCAGAATTTACTGGTGATGTCTTGGGGAGAAATGGAGGCTTCGTGGTCCTTCCTGCCGGCTGGCTGGGGCGGGAAGCCGGCCTGCCTGGTCCAGGTGCTGTCCAGCCCCGCCCAGGGTGGCCTGGTGCTCAGCTCCCGGAGGACACACACCAGGGCCGCAGGCCAGGAGCAGATGACACCTGCTCACCCACGCTGGCTGGATCTGGGATTCCACAACGGAAACCCGCTTCCCACAAGCCCATGGGGCACAGCACCCCCCCCTGCACACGGGGGGGGCATGGCACCCCCCCACAGTGGCCCTGCGGGGACCCCCTTCCCCACAACCCAGCCGCTGTGTCATAATAGGAGAGTTCGGGGGCAGTGATCCAGCCACCAGAGGCCCCAG